TGATGGCAAAGCACAAAATAGACGGGTAGAAATTGTGAAACAATAAAAACATTAATAGACGCAAAAAAACCACCAGCAATGGTGGTTTTTTTGTGCGATAAAGTTAAATGAATTGGAAAAGAGAAGGCGATTGTGAGATTTAAAATAGATGCAGTGCTAAATTAAAGTTTACAATGGTTTCATTATCAATAACAAGGCCCTCGTTTTCAAGCAAGGTTTGCATGAGTGATGGAGTGGCAAAATGATGTTTACCAGTGAGCTGTCCATTTCTATTGACCACTCGATGGGCTGGAATTTCGGGGCGGTTATGAGCCGCATTCATGGCCCATCCCACCATGCGGGCGCTGCTTTTAAGGCCTATTTTTTCGGCAATAATGCCATAAGTACTCACTTTACCATAAGGAATCTGAATCACCAAATCGTAGACTTTTTCAAAAAAGTCGGTATGCGTGAGATTATCCACCGATATAATATGAACCGGTCGCAATGCATAGTTTTTGACCATCTTCATTAAAGAGCTCCATCTGGGTGATGGAAGATATTTTACCGCATTTGATCAAATGCGCTTTGGCAATGAAACTTTGACCAATAGCACTTTGTAAATAATCAATGCGCATATCCATGGTGCCATATTTGGTCATCATCTTTTGAATATCATCGGGATTTTTATCGGACAGTTTGCGGTAGACGGCCAGCATGGATACCATGCCACCAGCAGCATCCAAGACACTAAAAGAAACTCCACCGTGCAATCGAGACAACAACGCATGCCCCGACAATTCGTTTCGATAATCAAATGTGATTTCGGATGAGGATCCTTCAAATTTAAAAGTGTTTAAATGAAGGGTTTTGTGGAATGGAATGGCATTCTCAAATATATTGTAGATCAGTTCAATGAAGTCGGGTTCGCTCATTATCGAATGGTTTTTATGAATTGTTGAATGGATTCCACCAAGTTGGATGGGTTTAGAGACTTGATAAATGCGCTACCAATAATGGCGCCATTGGCATATTGGCAAGCCAAATCATAACCCGATTTATCGGAAATTCCAAATCCTATCTGAATGGGTACGTTTAGGTTGA